GATTGACCCGGTGAGTCGAGGTGGGAAAGGAAACCTGGATGCTGCTGGGCCAGATTTGGCTCTTTCCCGTCAGGGATGAGACTCTCCCATCAAACTCTGTAAAGGGGGCACAGTTTTAAATGAACTTAGGGTGTGAGAAAAACTCTGTATAAAGTCTCTAACACAGAAAAGTTCTTGGGTCCAGTGCCTTGCCTCTGTGGCTGGCCCGCAGCCTGTATTTATATAGAGTAAATTGCTTTAACATTGTACATGTTTCCATCCACTTCCTCCCTTCTCTTTCCTTCCTCTGTATTGTTGCTTCACCCTTTTTCCTTTCCGTTCTCTCCCTTGGCTTTATGATTCTCCCTTTTCTTCAATCTACCTTGGCTAGAGGGAGAGTAACAGGGATCGGGTGGGCTGGTCTTAAGAAAGTACCTACTTCAGCGCTGGAGAGGTTTGGTCGCCCCCAGTGTCCACTTCTGCTCTCCGCCAGGTCTTGTTCCAGGGGAAGATGGGCCTCCCCATCCTGTGTGTGGGCTCTGTGTGGAAGAGCTGGGAGCTGCTGAGGGAAGGTGAGCCTGGGGTGGGCGGTGGAGGGGGGGTACCCGGGAAAGCTGCCTGCCCCGGGGAAGACTTGGGACCTGGGCCCTGAGGCCTAGACAGGCCACAGCCCTCTGCCTTCAGTCTGCCAGGGAACCCTTTTACTGTGTCTCACTCAGCTTCCTTGAACTCTTAAAAAGATATTCTTTTTCAAGAATTTATTAGCTATGCACCACTTCTTAAAAATTGGAGAAAGAACTCCGTTGAAATGAGAGCTTCTCACCTGCATGTGGTGACATCTCTAGTCAACACAGTTGCAGCCAGAAGGAGAAAAGGTGTCTTCTTTGCCCTTGCAGCGTTGGTTCAGGTAGCTGTGTGCTATCATTAGACATCCTAAAGTAGTTGGAGGGCCCCACTGCTTCCTTGGAGGTCCCGGCATTGGGTGCCCGGTGGCTGCAGGCTCCAGTACCCCACAGCCCTTTCTGGGCTCATGTCCCGGTGCCCTTCGTGTTAGGGAGTTGGCAGGACCTGCACAGGAATGCCTCAGGGCTTGGGCCTCTCCTTTCCCTCCCTGTCTTTGTCCCACCTTCTCCTGGTCTCGACCACAGGGTGCTGGTCTACTCTCACCTTCGCCCTCTGCCCTCTTTCCCTTCAGGTTTCCTTCTGGCGCTGACCCAGGGCCGAGAGCTGCAGGCCCAGAACTCCTTCTCCAGCTTCACCCTGATGAAGCTGCAACACTCCTCTGCCCTGGGTGGGGCCAGCCTTGGGGCCAGGCACATCGGGCACCTCCTCCCCATGGACTACTCTGCCAATGCCGTTGCCTTCTACTCCTACACCTTCTCCTAGGGGGCTGGCCCTGGCTCCACCCCTCCAAGCCCAGTGGACACTGGGTGCCGGAAAGGAGGCTTTTTTCCTTTTTTTTTTTTTTTTTTTTTAAAAAAAAACACATCTAAAAGAGAATAAATGCACTTTATCCACTCCCCAATTAGATCGTGTTACCAAGCACACTTGCTGTGTGGATCCTCAGTGCACCTGCCAGCAGGTATCCCAGAGAGCTCAGGAATGGCTGTAGTCTAGAATTTAAAGCCCCGTGCCCAGGTGCTTGGCCTGTGGTTTGCAATCTGCTCACCATACAGTTTGGCAGATAATTCATGTGTGCTATCCCTCCCCATGCCCCCCAACATTAGCATACTTAAATGCCGTGCTCTGCCAGGTAACTGTGATCTCAGTTTCTCCTGTCCAAGTGAGTAATGATTCCTACCCAGCCATTTGTGCTGGAACTAAGTGTTCTCTGTGGCCGTAACCTCAGACACTTAACACCCTCTCCTGATAGTCCCAGTAGGATTTAGGAGATGGTACCATTCTGGTCTGGGAGAACTACCTCACTGGATTTGGTACTTAGAGGTAAACAGCACATTTTGCAGTTTTTCCCCTATGAAAGAGTTCTTGAGAGGTTATGAAGATGGCTGAGATCTAAGAAGGCCAGTTAGACACAAGGTGGCCTACTTACTCCTCGTGACTTCTAGCCTGGCTCTGGTTATAATATGACATTTTGCATTTGTTGTGTGACACGAATGATGAACATCAGTGAAGAGCAAACATGATTCCTGTCCTCTGGATACTGTTAGTTTAATCAAGCCCAAAGCTTCCTGTTGGGCGGCGCATGGTGCTTGGTGAACTGAAGACAGATCTTGATCCCCAGTGGCTGTCTCTACGGGCGTTCAGAGTGAAAGCTGTTAGAAGGCATGGAACATGTGCGTCAGTCATTCGAGATCTTGTTTTCAACTAAGATTTTTGTCTTCCTCCTCCATGAGGTGTCTGATTCAGTAGGTCAAGGAAGAGGTGGGAATGTTCATTCCTACCAAATACCTTGGGTGATTTGTGCTGCAGAGGTCCAGGATCTGCACTTGAGAGAGCTCTACCCTATAGCTTTTGAGTGCTGATTAAGCCCTTGAAGAGGTCTTGGATACTTGTTTCTCAGGTCAAGTGACACTGCTTTCACAGTGTAGAACAGAGTGGCAGTGGCTCTCCTCCCATCACCCTAGCCCAACACAAGCCGGGGTTTTGAGCAATAAGAACTCAAGCCAAATTCCTTCTCAGGAGACAGGCAGCCATCTTCACATCTCCTGTGGTCTAAACCACTAGGAGCCAGCTTTCAGCAAGTCCCATACATCTGATAAAAAGCTTGCAAAGAGGAGAAAGAGAGGAGGTGTCTTTGCTATATCTTACAGTTCAAAGAACACTTACTAATGTGCAGGGAGCTTTGGAGTTGTGTATGTGTGTTTTTAAGATTGATTTATTTTAGCGCACGAGCGGGAGGGGCAGAGGGAGAGAGAATCTCAAGCGGACTTCATGCTGAGCTCAGGGCCCGATGTGGGGCTTGGTCTCATGACCCTGAGATCACAACCTGAGCCAAAACCAAGAGTTGGGCACTTAACACGACTGCGCCACCCAGGCACCCCTGGAGAAGTTTTTTTACATGCTCTTGGGACCAGGAACAAGCAGTATTTTGGGTTTAGAATCTAGACTCTCACTGGTGGAGAGTTTATATTCTTCAAGAATATGGCCATCTCTCTTCGTTAAACCATTGTCTAGGCTCTACTATTCCAGTGGGAGAGCCAAGTAAGGAGCACATCTTGACTGATTTTGTTAGTCTTAGTACATAAATATTGAATAAATGTTAGTTGAAAAAAATAAAGGCAATGGGCGTCTGGGTGACTCAGTTGGTTGAGAGTCCCAACTTGTGATTTCGGTTCGGGTCATGATCCCAGGGTTATGGGATTGAGAGCCCTGCATCCGGGCTTCACGCTCAGCTGGGAGTCAGCCTGGGATTCTCTCTCTCCCTCTGCCCCTCCCCCATATTGTATGCACGCTCTTTCTCTCTCATAATAAATCTTAAAAAAAAAAAGACAATATTAAAGTGTATACAAGGTCCAATGTGTTCCTAGATCCTTTAGCCAGAGATGTGACGAAGTGCCTTATTTTCCAGTTAGTAAGGCTCTGTTACCAGAGGTTGCAGGGCAGAAAGTCATAAGTCATTTTTGATGAGTTTCCCTCCCTTACATTTAAACTTGCAATCTCCTTCCTTAATAACAGGAGCGATTAATAGGATTCCATACTATCAAGGCCTTGGAGATGAGCCTGTAACAGCCTTGTGACAAGGCAAGAGCTTAGAACAAGAACTGGACTCAAATGAAGCCAGTGCTGCTTTAACCTACCTGTGCGATTTCATGACCGGCACAGCCTCCTCTGTCACGTTCATTCAGCAAACACTGAATGTCTTATGGCTGGCTGATGGGTGCTCTGAGGATTAAAAATGAGTACACCCTTACCCCTTGTACCAACTGAGAAGTTGTTAAGAATTTATGGAACTGCATGTTTACAGTATCTGCTTTTCTGTAATGTATTCTACTTCAAGTATAATGAAATGTTTTAAATGAATGAATATAACATTCACATCTTCAAGGATGTGAATAGCTCAGGCCCTGTGTATACGTAACTATAGTATCTCAGGAAGCTATACACAGGCAAGTCTGCTCAGATCTTCCCACCCCCCCACCCCCACCCCAGTTTTAGGAAGGCAACAAAGAAATAACTGCACTCAAAACCCAGAGGCCATGGTCTGGTCCCATGATCTTTTGCCACATGATACAGCCCCTTGGAGAATCACTGGGAGGTTCAAGCTAGGTGTGAACTGAATAACTGTGAATTACCAAACACCCCCACAACAGAACGGACAATGTCTGCTTGTTAACCCACTAGCCCGGGTACCTAGAACAGACAGTGCTTGGTCCCTAGCAGGCTCTCAAACTTGAGTAGTTGAAAGGCAGATTCAGAACCTTTACTTGTTTTCTAGATCGGAGTCAGCTTTCCCCTGAGGCAGGAAGATAACAGCTATCCAATTTCCTTTTCAGTCCAAGGATTTCCTGTTACCACCTTTGTTCAAAGCTGTACACATTACTGCCTCTATGTATTAAGCACCTTCCCTGTGCCAGGCAGTATTTTGAAATTAAATTCAGTCTAATTTTCACAGCAGTCCTAGGAGGGAGGTGTCGCGTCTTTATAAAGTGAGGCGCAGGCTGGAGGCACTGAAAGTGCTGGAGGTGGGATTCACTCAGGTCTGCGACTTCCAAATCCAATGCTTTTGCTCCTTTGTAACAGTATTTAGAATGGAAGATGATGCAGCTGAAACCATGGTCCATCTTAAGACAGAAATCTCACAAGGGGCACCTGGGTGGCCCAGTCGGTTAAGTGTCTCTTGCTTTTGGCTCAGGTCATGATCTCTGGGTTGTGAGATCAAGCCCTGTGTTGGGCTCTGCGCTCAGCAGGGAGTCTGCTTGAGATTCTCTCTCCCTCTCTCCCTCTGCCCCCCCCAAATAAATAAATCATTTTTTTTTATCTCTCACAAATACACACCACACATACATTCCCTGTACGATGATATATAATCACCCAGCCTTAGGAAAAACAGTACGACTGCCGGCAAGTAAATGCATTTTATTCTCGTTTTATTGAGATTTTTCCACAGCTGCCATTTGGTTTGTATAGCAAAATTTTTAAAAAGTAACTTTTTCCCCATTTTTGATATTTTTATGAAAATCATTTTCTTCGATTTTAAAGCCCTGCCCCTCCCCCAAAGACATATTAATAACTACCACATAATGTGTACTTAGAGGAGAGAAAAGGAACAAAAACAGCTCTTAAACACTTGTGAAACAGGGATCAAAGGTGAAAGTCAAGACGTAGGCCCGCTGGAGGTGCGAAGCTGCTGCGGGGCACCCATCTGCACTCTGCCATCCACACCAGCGAACGGGTAAGCCACGCACAGACCCCCAGGGGCTTCTCGTTCCTCAGGCTGCACTCCCTTTCTCCTCTCGACCTCCTCTGCTGGCTGTCGTTCTCTCCAGATCCATCCAACAAAGGCAGCACAATCTTTAATACACATTCAACTTTGTAACGCAGACAATACTGTATTCAAAGTTCGGCGATTCCCCTCCATCCAGTTCGGAAGGATAAAATATCCAACAGAGTACAGATGGTTTTGCTTTTGTGTCCACTCAAAACACATTCATTAAATTATCAGATGCTTCAAAAGTCCTGATGTGTAGACAGCACAAAAGTTCCTTATAAAAAAGTTGCAAAGTTATAAAAATTTCTGCAGCAGTTTAGGCTCCTCGTGTGGAGGTCCTGATGGCAAAGCTGGTTCTGATAAGCAGTTCACGTGCTACGCGCAGCAGCTTGCCCAGGAGTCCTGTGCTCCGAGGGTTCTATTTAGACCACAGGAGGCTGAAATCCAAGTTTACAAGATTCCCTGCTGACAAAATGTGGCATATCCATCAATGGAATACTACTGAGTGCTCTAAAAGAACAAACTACCAACACAAGTTAGGCCTCATGGATGAAACTCAAAAATATGCTAAGGGAAAAAGCTAGCTACAAGAGACCACAGTTTGTAGGATTCCATTGATATGATGCCCAGAAAAGGCAAATTTGTAGAGACAGAAAGATAAGTGGTTGCCCAGAGCTGGGAACAGGATTATCATGTAAATGGACATGAAGGATCTCATGGGGTGGGATGGAAAACATCTAAAACTGAGTATGGTTATGGCCTCACCATTCAGGAAACTTACTAAAATAACTGAAATGTACACTTGAAATGGGTGAATTTTATATGTAAAATATGCCTCAATAAAGTTGTTTTAAAAAAAAAATCCCTGCATTAAACATTTCTGAAGGCTCAATCAATACGGCAGGATTATCACTTAGTGTCGAGTTACACAGGAAAACACTGTACTATTTTCGAGTAAATAGCTTAGAGTTTCCCAATGCCCACCAGAACTGGGTCAGTCCTCCTGTTTTCTCCACTCATTTCCCAAACGAATGCATCATGTCCTGGGAGAGGGGCTGGGATACACAGTCTTCCCCAGTAGGCGGCCATCCCCAAATCTTGGTCAAATTTGTGAGGTATGTGCTCGTCCCCATACCTAAACGTCACCTAAACCAAGAACCATTAATAACCTTGATGCTGGGACCCTTATCGAAGAACACCTGTCCTCTCTGATCACATCAGGATCGATTCTGGGGCACCTGATGTTTCTACACCGGGTCTGCAGCCGCACTAACACGAGAGGATTCAGTCCACGGTTTCCTTTAGCTCCTTCACACAACTTTCCTCTCTGACGTATAATTGCCAGAGTATTGTAATGACCTCTTTACTCCCTAGCCTCTCCAAAATCAAGACAAAACTGACACTAGGACAATACACAATCTAAAAAATCCTGCTTAGTAGTTTACTAAAAGCATTTTTTTAAAGCCATAGTTAGCATTATAACCTTAGAGACTCCAGCTGTTTTGACTTTGAAAACTAAAGGTGCTGCAAAAGTCCAGCCCCTGCCTTACAATCTGTTTTGGTTTGACCATACTCGACCCCAGCACCCCAGGAGTCTGCTGCCGCAGTCGGAACGCGCAGAGCCCCACAGCTGCAGGTGCTCAGGCCTGGGCGGTAGCTGTCAAGTTCTTTGCTGTCGTTCAAAGACCTGGAGAAACTGAAAAGGCATTTCCTTGACTTGTTTTTTTTTCTTGAAGAGCCAAGAGATAAAATAATTTTCACCTCGGAGTTTTAGAGTCCAACAATCACAAAACTCAGAAACCAGTCACGGATGAGCTCACACCGGGCCCAGCCAGAACTGGCACTCGCTGCAAACACACACTCCATCATTGCTCTACACATTCTCAAGCTTCCAGTTGCCGATGGAACAAGTTTAAACAGAGTTAGTGGCTCAAATTCAACGTCAAAATATCAACTTATAAATACCTGCCTCGCCGGTCAAGGTGCAGGCGGGCATGCGCCCAGATCGGTTCCTACGAGGAAAGGAAAGTGGGGAAAAGACGGAGAAAAGAGCTGGGCTATGGAGAGAAACTGCAGCACAAGCCGACTCGCTAAGAACAGGGTCGTGCTGCTAGCCGCTTCCTGCTCCGGGAGTCCGCAGACTCTCGTGTCTGAATGGGACTGGAAAGTCCAGCCCTCAGGTTCCACTGCTCATCTGGCAGGAAGCTCTCTTACTCCCGACCAAATCTGCCTTGTGAAACGGTGCTGAAGTCCGACATCCAAAACAGAACCCCACAGCAGACAGACAAGCCCTTTGCACTGCTCCCAACATCTCAGCCATCCTGGTCAGGACAGCAAGCTTCTTCAGAATGAAGAAACGGCTCCATCCGAATCCCTACAGGACTTTCCAGACTGGGAGCCACACTAGAATCCATTGTTTCTGAGGGAGAAGCCCACGCTCTAGAAAATGGCTCTTTCTGCAGTCTCAATATATTGCCGGCAGCCTTCAGGACTCTGAGCTTGGACAAGGTAATGGAGACTGAAGGAGGAAACGGAGCCCTGGGGCACACAGACCTCTCTTTTCCTGCACTTCCAAGGCCCTCTCCCTATTAGAGGCAACGACCCCAGTTGAAAGCTGAAGCTGCAATAAAGAGGGTTCTTTATTCACAGCCGTCCCTGGAAACGAGTTAAGTGTTCCATTCTCTTGAGGTAGAGGCTTTGGGCCTTTGGGTATTAATGTGCACGCCTGGCAATACAAGCTCCTTACGCTACTCTCCTGACACGTGACCCTAACGGGGAAGGCCATTCTTTAAATGATGCCATCCTATAGACTCAAATGAGGAAAAGATGTGGGTTCGTATTTTAAATCTGACATTAGCCTGTTGCTGTTCAGAAAGTCAACAAGGGGAGCACCTAAGAAAAGGGAGAAATTACTAAGCTTTCTAGACACTGGTCCTTTCCTTCCAACCTCTGTCCCATATCCACATACTGAATTTACACAGACTTTATTTCATTACGTGGCCTTTTCCTGATAGGCCTGTCACACAACACAGTAGCAGTCATACAGAAGCTGCTATGTCCCCCTCAGGCCTCTGCAAGTCCTCATCCTAGGAGGACGGCCGGGACTACACACGTTCTCCTTTAGACCTGACTCTGCCACCTACATCTTTATCACACAAAGGCGCTTCTGGTGCCCAGTTTAATCCCTTATGAGTATCAACAAAAAAACCCCTGTGATTTATAGTCAGGAAAAACAAAAGGAATATACCCAAAGAGCCCAACCTAGAAAACTCGTAAAGCTGGGCATGTGGGAACAGCAAAATTTTATAATTGCTGAAACTATCCCGCTGGGTCACATGGTCACATGGGTCAAGCAAGACTCACTCTCCCAGGCTTTTTTTTTTTTAATTCTTTTGCATAAATCTGTAAGGTGGGGAGAAGCATCCAAATTGTGAGCTAAGCTTCTCGCTGGTGTCCTGAAAAATATGTTTATGTGGGAAAAATTATTGGGAATAATTTACTAAGGGAAGATACCAGGAGGACCAAGTCTTCATGGGGCTGGCAAAAAATTGCCAAAATACTCTTAAGACACAATTAACAGGATTCAAGTTGACTGAGTGACCCAAATGACAATCACTGGCACAGTCCTCCCCTGCTGGTTTACAACCTTCATTAACCATCAGAAGAATTACCATAAACCAGTCCTGAAGTCTGTGTTTTCTTGAACGGGGTTCCAGGCAAGGACACGTGGGCTTGGCGGGCCATGGTAATCTGCTTCATCACAGGAAAGCCCCGGGGGGTCAGGGGAGCTGGGCTGTGAACCCTGATTTGCAACACCTCCTTCTTCCATTCGTCCCTCTTGTCATGCAGCTTAACAGACTCGATAAATAGTTCTCCAAGTGTTCACTGCCCTTGGTAAGTGCACAATAGGTTGAGAAGGGCATTCTTAAACACCCAGATTTTCTTGGTCAGCTTATTTTGTTTAAACACACACAGCAGAACATTCCTGATGAAGGGGAAAAAAGACTGCAATTTCCTTAACTCAAAAAACTAATAATAATAATAATAATAATAATAATAATAATAGGAAACTGCTCCAAACCAAAGTCAGTAGAACAAAAGAGAAATACTCAGAGACTCAGAGGCTTGTAGAGTAAGACTGAGCTCATTAGTTACTCCAGTCACAGTGTCAAGTTAAACCACTATCCCCCTTCCCCACTGTGCACCCCTAGCCCGCCCCACCCTCTTCTTCAGCTCCGCCTCTTTGTGCAGCACTGTCCCCAGGTGTGGGGACATACAGGTTCTCCTCAAAGCTTTCTGTCAGCTCAGTACTTCACTCCTGGAATAAATTCCTTGGCATCCGGGTTCAGATTACTTTTGCTCTGAAATAAGAACCAAGAGATAATAAATCCCACTTTAAAAGTTGTTTTCTCCCTGCTTCCACTATTACCAGTACCTTCCTCTCAGCCACCAAGAAGGAAAAAAGCTCCAGCTGCTATTGCTGGGCTGCTCTCAATGGCTCCTGACATACTAAGCCTTGGCCAACCTCATTTTCTCCTCCTGCTTTGGACTCCTGTTCTCTTCATGATGCTTTCATTAGAGACTTGCAAGTTTGACTGCAAAAATAATTTTTCAGTTCACTGAGTACCTTAACTCGATGAAAATCCGAGTATTCCACCAAAGCGGTTTGGTGACCACCATCCCTTTATTTTCCACCTCGCTGTAGTCTCTTTGGTTATCTACCCTCTTGTGAACGTCCAAAACCTGAGCAAACCGCAGGGCACAGTCATTTGGAACATGAGTTCTGTGAGAACTAAGTCACTCACAGAGTTCTGACTGTAAGTAAACATGAAAGGCAGGAAATTGGTTTATCCAGTCTTTTAACTTTAAGTGGAAAATGGCCTCTTAGGAGTATGTTCCTTCCAAAACTGCATCATTCAAAACTATAAATACAGATTTGAGGAATAGTAAAAGGAAAGAACAACAGCAAGTGATTATTCGAAACCAAACCTCTTCTGTGTTCAAATTCTTATCCCTAATCCCAGTTCTACTCTGAAAGGCCCCCTGGGGGAAATGAAAGCCAGAGATGCTGCCACAAGAATGTTTTCACGATGCTGTGTGCAACGTGTCTCCAAAGCACCCTCTTATCAAAGCCCATGGGATGATGGGTGAAGAGACAGGGGCCAGAGGCTTGCCCAAGGTGGCAGGGCCAGAAAAAAAGTCTGTCACTCCAAATCCCACATTCTTTTCACTATGTCTCCTGTGCAACTACGTACGGCTCTTACCAAAATATCTTCAGACTCGTGACCATCGCTGATGGACAGTCCATTTAACTGCTGCTGCAACTGTCCCATGGCCTGAGGCAGGTCCCGGGAGGGGATGAACCAGTCCTGGTCTTCTTCATCCAGCATCTCCTGGAAGCAGCGGTCTAAGAAGTCTTGCTCCTGCAGCTCCTCCTCCACCTAGCAAGCCAAGGTGAGGAGCTCACACTTACCGTCCCAGTACGACTCACCCCTCCCAGTTTTCTACCTCTCTCTTTTGGAGGGTATTTAGTCAGCAGTTGAGAACCATCTTGTCTACTAAGAATTAAGACGCTTCGAATGACTGGCTAGAGAAAATACAAGTTTTAGTTTTTTCAACCAAATTCCATCAACAGTAAGACTAAGGAAACAGTTATTCAGAAGAGCAGAAAGTCCAGGCCTTCACATCTCTTCCGACATCTCTGCGTGACACAGACATGTTCCATCCATCCAGATGGCACTTACAGAAAATCATTTTAAAGCTTGAGACTCTTTTCTCAGTCTTGTTAAGCAACTCTTCTTAAATTTCCCATTTTACAAGTATGAAAAAGGTACAGGAATTACATAACTAGACCACTACCTGGATAGTGGAGATTAAATCAAAACCAACTCTCAGCTTCTGGCCCTCTTTTCTGGTAATGAGGCCCCTAAAGGAGAAAAATACTTTCAGAACCTTAGAAAGATATAAAGAACACTTTTTGGCAAACCAGTAGAAAATGATGTCATCAATGTAGGTATCCTTTCAAAACAAGGAAAAATATGAATATTTAAACAATTTTGTATTTCTTAAAGATGGCCCTAAACTAATGCACTATGTATCTAGGATATTTTACACCTCTTTGCAGACATCGTTAACTCTTAGTAAAGAGAACGGTCCAGTCTGCAGATTAAGTGTGGTTTTAACAGGCCCTGGGCCTCACATTTGGCCATCCCTTTCCTGCGGGCTAGTGGCGACCGATTCATAGCTCACTAGCACCACCATCGAGGGGAAGTCAAGCAAAAATAATCACCCAAACTAGCCCATACACTTATTTATGAATTCAAAAGTCACCAGCAGCACAAGACGTAAAAATAGTCTTCAACATTACAATTAGCCACACCGATCTCAAGTAAATTAGATAGTTACGAAGTACTTAAAGTAACAACCACCACAAAATATTTCCAAGCCGTAAGATTTAACATGACTGCTCAAGATCTGCCTTGCCTCTACCCGAGAGCATGACAGTGTGCTCCTCCTTAGTAAATCTACCCTCATTCACAGGTACACAGAAATGGTTACCCGGGTACAGGGATGTGACTGCAAGCATGATCTATGTGCTAGTCCCACAAATCATGACACAGTGAGCTGACTGGGGGGAGGGGGGACTGCCGGCTGTCCCACTAAACTTGTTTCCTTGTTCCCAGAGCACCAGGCTGTTCAGTTAAAACCGCATTTCCCGTCTCCCATGCTGGCGATGGCCACGTAACTATTCATCATGTAATGTCTTCCCGAAGGGATGTGAACACTTTGGCATCACTTGGTCAAAAGGAGTCCCTTCCTTGGCTTTTACCTCTCCCCCTTTCCCAGTGGCTGGACTTCCAGTTATCCTTCAGCTACGCAGCTGATCAATGCCCTGGCCGGGCTGGAACAACACCATCGGAGAAGCGTGTGGTCGCAGAATCACTGTCTACCTAGAATGCCTACCTTGAGCTATTAATGTCACGGGGATACAAGACAATGGATTACTGCTGAGTCTTTGTTCAAAAGGTCTAGCCTTTCCCCACCTAACACACTTCTCCATCTCAGACGTACGTTCTGCCAGTGCCTGCGTCCCCACGTGGGGAGCATGCCAGGCTGGCCCGTCTGCACACAGCTGCTGTTTATACCCTTGAAGTCTATACCACATCGCCATGGCATGAGATCCTCTTGCAATCAATGTGTGGCAAAGTGTCAGTACCTTCCTCCGAAGTACCCTACTCTGGTGTCTTACCAGCTGAAGAGGCTTCTTGGGTGAGCCCAGACCAGGCCTCCATGCATTTTTGAATTATTCTCAAGCTGATAAACCCATTTCTTTTGTTATAGATGGATGGTAAAATATTATAGCTGTTGAGTTACACGCATCTTAGCCTTCCACTTCTTTTTTTACCTGTCTGTTGAAATCTTCTTCGTTCTCCATCCACATGTACTCTGCAAATGGGTTTTCCTTCTCATCGTGCCCATTTAATCCCTGATCTTCCTTGGATTTTACATTAGGTGATGTATTTGCTACACTGGATCCATTCATTATGACAGAACCTAAACAGAAGCAAAAGAAAGGATCAAGGGAATGAAAACCTAGAACAACCAGATTCTTCCAGAAGCTTCTAAAGTTCTAAGTCAAAGTTATTACCTATAGATGAACAGAAACTATTACTCTGTGACTGTTAGAAAACTAACCATATTCTGCAGTTATCAACTACACAGATGTAGAATTCTTAAAGAGTTAAAAGAAAAAAAATGTCTAGGCTCACTTAGCCTTTCTAGGCAAGTGGGAGGGGGAGATCTTTTCAAGTCCATTTTTTGCAGGTTCTAGAACCTAATCAAGGTCACACAGCTTCCTTAATGTTTAAATAGGTAGAGGAAATGCGTTTTTTGTTTTTTTTTAAGATTTTATTTATTTGACAGAGAGAGACAGTGAGAGAGGGAACACAAGCAGGGGGAGTGGGAGAGGGAGAAGAGGCTTCCCACTGAGCAGGGAGCCCAACGTGGGACTGGGTCCCAGGACCCTGAGATCATGACCTGAGCCGAAGGCAGATGCTTAACCATCTGAGCCACCCAGGTGCCCCGAGAAAATGCATTCTTAATGAACACTGTGAATGACTACGCCTTATTCTGATTCTCAAGCTGTTTTTCTATAAAACATATTTCAAAAAATAATACATGCTCATTGTATTGATAAACAAAAAGGAGAAAATTAAGGTTACCAGAGTTAACCAACTATCCAGAGTTAAAAACTGTTAACAAGGTAGTGTATATAACCTTTCTGACTTCCCCTAGGTGTATGCAGACACATAGACACACACACACATCCCCCAAGCATCCATCCTTAGAGTAACAGCATGATGATCTATCATTTGCCTTTTCTCATTTCTGTGTTAATACTACCAAACTGTCTTTTGGGGTATTTCCAATGTTTCCATGTTATAAAGATCAGATGAACTTCTTGTGTTCATCTTTTTCAATGTTTTCCTTAGGATAACTCCTAGAAACTGAACTGCTATATTGGAAACTATGTTTGCTTTTTTTAAGGCTCTTGATTTATTGCCACACTGCCATGAGAATTTAAATTCCCACCAGTAGGATATCAGTGCCTATTCCTCTGCACTGAGTATTATTTTTTTTAAGCCACTGCCAATCTCTTAAGAGAAAAATTGTCATTTATGGTTTACATTTACATTTCTGTGATTTTTTACTGAGACTGAATATTGTGAGATATACTTACCGGTCACCTGAGTTCTTATTTTGTCATTTTTCTGCTCAAGTATTTTCACCATTTTTCTATCAGGGTATGTATCTTTTATCTGCTATAAGGACTTTTATTATATTTGTCATAATTTTTATTTTTCATTAAAGAATTTATAAATTAAAAATACTGTATTTGTTTTGTTTGCTTAATTTTTTGGTGGCAGTTTTTGCTGGCCTTAATTTTTGTCTACATCTTGTGTGAGTGTTTGCCTGTCTATGGCTTTTTAAAGTACATACATATTTTTTTAATTGCTTACACTTGGCTTCCAAATCCACACTGATGTGTTTGCTGTCATCCGGAATGTGTCTTTTTTCTGTTCTTTATTTAAATCTTAACCATTCTTCAGAAATCATTGTAGTCTTTACTCATTGCTTCCCTCCTCTACCTTCCTGTACCTTGTGAGCTCGGAGTTCATACTACTTAACTATTCTCTTTCATATGCATAATTTTTCTCTTTCCAATTAGATTCTCAATTTGTGAAAATCAAGATGGAGGCTTATAATCTCAATCTCAAATCTATCTCCTCCCCCATCCTCCTTGAGGCATCTTTAAGTTTTCTTTCTTTTTTTTTTTTTTTAAAGATTTATTTATTTATTTGAGAGAGCGAGAATGAGAGAGAGAGAGAGTACATGAGATGGGGGAGGGTTAGAGGGAGAAGCAGGTTCCTCGCCGAGCAGGGAGCCCGATGCGGGACTCGATCCAGGGACTCCAGGATCATGACCTGAGCCGAAGGCAGTCGCTTAACCAACTGAGCCACCCAGGCGCCCCTCTTTAAGTTTTCTTTAACAATTTTTTTCCTCACTCATTTCCATCGCGGCAACATTCATGAAAAAGTCTTTCTCTGCTTCTGGGTATACTAAAAAATTATTGCTTACTCCCCTTTAAAGTTCTTGCAATTTTCTAACCTGTTATGAACATTAGAAAATCTAATCTTCTTAAAAGACAAGGGAGAATTGTGATGAGTAAAAAATTAGATGAAAAATCAACTCATTGATATTTCAAAAAGAATTTCATTTATGACAGAAACCATTTAATTCACTGCTGGTTTAAGTAGGGCACCTAGTATAAAACATATTGGTTTAACACATTTTAAATAGAGACAAAAGAAATCAATGATTATTCCAAACACTGCTTATAATAATAATTCTATAAGCCTAAAGAAGGTAGGAAACCAGTTCTTTAATTTTACCACTTCCATTTGCAACATAACAATGACAGAAGCAAGTCTGCTCTAACTGCCAGGGCAACTCCATGACTAAGTAGGGTATCCCTAAGCACAGAGACTCTTCAAGGACCTGACCCTTGCTGGGTAGCAGGTTTTTAAACAGTATTATATTTCCAAAGACTCATTTGGCAATTGGTTACAACCAGCACAGTGATTTCTCCCCATCAGTATGGAAATCACCCAGAGAGAACCAGCATTCAGTTTTCTAAAATATCTGCCTTTGCCTAAAAAATAGATCCTAAGTGCACATGACCGTAAGGAAAAAGAGAAGACAGATAAACAAAGAATAGAATAACCCATCTAATTCCAGAGTGAGGTGGAGCGCAGAGAGCAAACCGCAGGATGCTGTGGTTCATGAGAAAGGGAACGGAAATGTACCATAACCCCAAATTGGGGATGTTACCCAACTTAATGCAAACACTTTGGAGAAGCTGAAAACACTGTGATATGGGATAGTTAATACTAGGAAAGTGGTTCTCAGGAAGCTATACAGTGTTGATTTGTAGTCTATACCATTCTACCTGTGTTTTCCACACAATTTTCCACACAATTGGAAAGCTTAGGTTTCCCTAAATAGAAGCAATCCAACAACTTATTTTGTATAATGTTTAACAATTTATTTTTTAAAATATTTTATTTATTTATTTGTCAAAGACAGAGAGAGAGAGAGCATAAGCAGGGGGAGCAGCAAATAGAGGGAGAAGCAGACTCCCTGATGAGCAAGAAGCCTGATGTGGGGCTCAATCCCAGGACCATGGGAGTATGACCTGAGCCAAAGGCAGACGCTTAACTGACTGAGCCACCCAGCTGTCCCTAATGTTTTAACAATTTATAAAGTACTTTCATATCTATGCTCTGACTTCAGGCACATAATCTGTCCAACTTCATTCTAAAACAAAACAAAAACATCCAGATAGTGCTAGACGTAAGACCAAAGAAGGTACCAGATTCAAGGGTTAAGCAACTTGAGTTGCTGGGTTACCTCAAGAATAACACTGGTTTGTGGGCCTACTGGGTGACAATGCACTGGTGCTTAATGTGTCCCTAGACTTTAGTAGTGGAGTGGGAAGGGGGAGATTTTGCTGGATACTGGTAAATTCTAGGTAAGGCATTTGAGGAATGCCTTCCAACTCGGGGAAGACACCAGGTAAGACAGGACCACTGCCCATAACTTCCCTGACTTTCCTGCCTCCAGAGTTTCATGTAACATTCTCTTCCTGTTCCCAGCTCCTCTCTAGTTCACCATCCACTATGCTTGCCCTCTAAGTATCCAGTATTTTCCTAACTATCCTATTTTGTCCTTTGATGTTCATTATTTCACTTGATCCTCACCCACATCAAGGTACATTATGTGTCATCCTAGTGTAGTGGGGACAAAGAAAATACCCCCAAAGCTTCCAGAGATGGGGGAAATGCTTGGGTACATAAGTAGGATCACAAATCAGAATGGCTGCCATGTTGTCAGCTATGTTATGGTAGAGAGGCCCATGTGACAAGGAATTGAATCCTGCTAACAACCATGTGAGTGAGCTTAGTTCATCTTTCCCCAGTCAAGGCTTCAGATGAGACAGCCATCCCAAGTGATAACTTGACTGTAACTTCATAAGAGACTGTGAAGTAGAAGCATACCCAGCTAAGCTGCTCCCAGATTCCTGACCCACAGAAACTGTGAGATAATAAATGTTTGCTGTTTTAACCTGCTAAACTTTGCAGTAAGTTGTCACATGGCAATAGATAATACAGGTATTCAATAAACAATGACAACTAGTTCTGCCATACAAACCATCAGTTGCCACATCTTTCCTCTTATCTATCTAGAGAACAGGCGTGCAATTTGAAGTAGGTCACGGCTTGAGAAGTTCTTTAAGAATTAAACCTCAACAGTAGATAAAAAGAGTTTATGTCTGGCCTGCCTCTATATTGCATTATGAAATCTGAGAACTATTTGAAACTTATTCCCCCTCTACCTCATTTTTTCTTATACACATGCAAACATCCTGAAAATGGAAAATAAGAGTTGTCATTTTGGATTAAGATGGGAAAGCATGTAGCCAGCACAGAGTCAAAATAGGGGTGGGGTGCTAAGGTCCGCTAGGCATTTGATTTAGCACTTTACCATGGTCAAGGGTTCATGTCTAAAATATTGGGCTTGAAATAGGGCCCTCAGTTCCCAACCATAAAGAACTTCAGGACTTTTAATGTGCCTAGGACATTTCTACAATGCTTCATCAGTTCAACACTTTGAACAACCACAACTTTCAGATCCAATGCGCTCATACCAGAAACTAGCTGTTCTTTGAACCTGAGGTTTTTTCAGAAGCTATAAACCTGGATTGTGCCCATGATAACAGCTTGACTCTGAAGAATACTTGGGACTTTTGGCTGAATTATATGGAAAAAGTCTATTGAGCAATTGCTATAAAAACTAGTCTCTACTATTCTGTTTCCTACAGTTTTGTGAACTTCTTTCAGTCTGGTTAATACCATTTTTAAATTAAATATTGTGAATAGCAGTTTAAATGTTATTTTAGTTCAAATATGTGGCACTAGATTTGGGTTTGGTCC